AGTGAGGGTGATGGTGCACGCTGCTCTGTCCCTGGAGATCTGCAAGCCAAGGTAATGGCGTAGTTCTCCAAGGTCAGTGCAAGTGTGTCTCTTCAGCAGCTCTGCCTTCACGGAGGCCAGTGCGTCCCTGTCTGCAGTGGCGAAGACCAGGTCGTCTACGTAACCAAGGATCTAGAACAGAGTCTGGCCTGCACGAACAAAGAGCGAGGGGTCTGCAGAGGACGGAAAGAATTGCAGGTCAGCAAGGGTAGCACGCAGCGTGTCGTGCCACTCACGAGGAGCCTGTCGCAGGCCGTAGACGGGGCGCCGCAGGAGCCACTGGGTCCCAGGAGGGAAGGTACCAGTGAAACCCTGAGGGCGGCGCAGGTAGACCTGCTCGTGTAGACTGCCCTTAAGAAACGCAGTAGAGAAGTCGAGGGAGTGAAGCTCGTAGTCACGCTGAGCTGCTACGTGTAGCAACACCCAAAGAGTAGTCATCTTCGGGGTAGGAGAAAAGGTCTGGAAGAAGTCCACCCCCTCACGCTGACTGAAACCTCTAGCCACGTAGCGCGCCTTGAACACAGGCGGCTCTCCAGGAGGGCGCTTCACCTTGAAGAGCCAGCGGCCATCGACTACGTTCACCCCAGGTCGGGGAACTGCGTCGACGTAGGTGCCGGTGGATCTCCAAGATGCCATCTCCTGCTCCATGGCAGCTATCCACTGTGAGGCCCAGGGTCCCGAAACCGCCTCAGCGTAAGTGCGAGGGGTCGGGATGTCGAAAGCGTCGGGGTCACCCTCAGGGACTAGAAGCATGGAACAGAGATGGGGAGCAGCCTCGGACACGGAAGCAAGCTCGTACTGACGGTCCTCCAGGACATTACTGCCGAGGGCAGGAGCACCCCTGACAGACGGAGGTCAGGCAGGGTCAGAGACCAGAGCCATGGCGTAGTCAAGGCGGTGGGTACAGGCGAAGTCAGCGACCGCAGTGACAAGAGCGTCAAGAAACGAAACCGGAACAGACGGGTCGGTAACGAGAGAGGCAAAGACCAGAGGAACAAGAGGACGAGCGGCACGCAAGTAGTAAGGCAGAGGGGGGGGCGCAACAACAAGGGAGGACGGAGGAGGCGACGTGAGATGGGGAGAACGAGACGCGTGGGAACGAAGCAACATAGGGTGAGAGCGCGAGACAAGGGAGACAGGTCGAGCACGGGAGGGACGGCGAGACCAGACGTGAGACGGAGGCGTCGAGTCAGGAGACAGAGGAGGGGACAGAAGAGGGGAACGAGGGGGGAAATGAGCCGGAGACGAGTCCGGAGGAGGGAACACAGGGCCGTAGACAGGAGGAGGAGGAGGCACAGACGCGGGGTCAGGGGATGGAAGGCCGAGCAGGCGAAGAGCTGACACCGGCGGGGACTGCTGCTGTGGCGATGCGACACCGACACCGGGACCGCAAGCTGTCGGACGGCTACCTCCAGAACACTCCACTCCAGCACCCCCAGAAGGAACACCCCCAGAGCTCAGAACCCCTCGAGCACCGGTACCACCCCCAGGCCCACCGGGACAAGCCACGACAGGAGTCCCAAGACTAGTTCCCACCCCAAATCCAGCACCCCCAGAGTCAACGAACTGTGGCAGCGACGGCTGCGGCGGCGGCGACGGCGGTGACGACAGCTGCGACAGCGGTGGCGACGGCGGCTGCGGAGGCGGCAGAGGAGGAGACACTTGAGGAGGGGCAGGCGGCGAGGACTGCGGCGCAAGACCACCAGAGTCAGCAGACTCCTCAACCGGGACGACCGACGTAAGGAGGGTGACGTGGGACACACCAGAGGGGGCAGGACGGGGAGGGGGAGGGGCAGGGGCAGGGACTACCAGGAAAGGGGTGACCAGGAACAGGGGGGTGGTAACCGGGGGACCTCGGTGGGGGAAGCGGCGGTAGAAGGAGACGGACTCGTCAAAGGTGACGTCGCGGGAGTGAAAGAACCGGTGAGACGGCGAGTGGTAGAATTGCCTGTCAGACGCGTCAAGGGGGAAACCGAGGAAGACACAGGGAAGGGTGCGGGCAGTGAGCTTGTCCGTGCCAGAGGCACGAACGTGAGCAAGGTAGCCCCAGACGTGGAACGCAGACGCGCCACCAGGAGACCCGGACCAAAGAAGGGTCAGCGAAACCCGCGGCTGCTGAGGGTGCGGCCACAGGTTAAGCTCGTGAGCGGCGTAGAAAATGGGGTGCACCGGCATGGACCATGGAGGTGCGAGCCACCTCCATGACCAAACCGATGCGTCGCTCAGCGATGCCATTCTGCTGCGGGGAGTCCGGCAAGGTGAACGTCTGGGTGATGCCCTCCGCACGACAGAAACGACCAAGGACACCAGAGGCAAACTTGCACCACCACGGTCGGAGTGGAGACGCAAGACAGGGAGACCGCGGTGGACACGCGCAGAGACAAGCCACGGGATGAGAACGTCAGGCACGTCGGCCTTCCACCCCAGGGGGAACACAGTGGTGTAGCGCGTGTAGTCGTCGACAAGCACTAGGAAGTAGCGCTCTCGACGCGGCCCATGGACGGGGGCGGGGCCCCAGACGTCCATGTGCAGAGTCTGTAGCGGTGCAGCAGTAGGGGGAAACGGGGAGGAGTGAGGAGCACGGCGGAGCCAGCCCTCGACAAAGGGCGTGCAAGGTGGGGCTGGGGAAGAGGGAAACTCGGGGAACGACCCGGGGAGGCCTAGGACGAGACCGTGGTGTGACATGTGACGTAGACGTGGGAGCGCCGGGTGACCTAGGCGGTGGTGCCAAAGGAGGGTCGGGTGAGTGAGTGACCGACAGGAGCAGGCAGCAGCAACCTGAGTAGATGCAGCCACCTGAGGGGGCGTCCTTGCCGGGGAAGGCACAGTGTCCAGTGTGAAAAGGCCGGACACCGGGTCCCGTGGGAACGTGGTAAGGGGGGCACCAGTGGCGGCCTCGGTACAGACAGCGTATCGCTCGTGACCCGGGAACGTAGTGGTGACGCCAAGGTCCTGGAGGCAGTCGACACCAACTAGGTTCCTGGAGAACGAGGGGATGTGCAGGCCTGTGAGAGAGCCCGAAGGAACCGGCGGACAGGGAAGGGTGGTGTAACTGCGGGCGACTACAGGGCCGGAGGAGGGGTCAGCAAGAGAAACTGCAGCAGGAACAGGAAGCAGCGTCAGCATGGTGGATTCGCGGAAGAAACGCCGGGAAGCGCCAGAGTCAAAGGTGAAGGAAAGCACGGTAGTGGCGGCCGGAGTCAAAGCAGTGACGGAAGCACCAAGGGTAAACAAAGCAGGGGATCCTACGCCTGACGCAGCAGGGGAGTCTAAGCTAGGCACACCTACACTAGGCAACAAGGGGTAATAAGAAGGAAGCACACTAGAGTCATCAGCATACATCACATGCAAGGCAGTAACAATCTCATCCATGTCCATATCAAAGATTGGGACGCTACGACGAAGCAAGCTGTGCCAGTCTGGGAGCTCGGACGACGGGCCAAAGCGCTGACGAAACATGTCGTCCAGGCGACGAAAACAGCGGACGGAGGTGTGACCGATCTTACCGCAAACGAAGCCACGGCGAGGACCGGTCTGGAGCTGGTACTGACAGCGCGCGTCACCCGAACCACCACCCGGCAGCCCACAACGCGCACGATCACCACGTCCAGCACCACCACCAGCGGGTGGCCAGCAGGTAGAGAGCAGAGCAGAGGGGTGGCTGGTGAGTGCGAAGCTGTGTGTCAGTGCAGGCAGCGCGCCAGGTCTCGTCTATAGTGCGCAGGTGAGCGGCCAGATCAGCGACAGTGGGAAATGACGCAAGGTCAGGGAAGAGCATGGGGAGGATCAGGCGACCTACCGAGGCAGCAGGCGGAGTGGAATAGCGCTGGACAACAGCATCTAGGAAAGCATGGGCAGTGATGACTGACCTAAAGCGAGGGCGCTCAGACAGGGGGAGGGCATGACTGATAGCAAGCAGTGCGACAGCATCACGCGACAGCCAAACGGAGTGAGCAAGGGCAGCGGCTGCAGCGGACTCACGCTAAGCAGACGAGGGGGCAGGCGCGACGGCGAGCAGGGGCGGCTAGGACGGGCGCGACGGCACACGGGGCCGGCTAGGGACGTACTCAATGGCGCAGGGGGCCGGGGAGGACGATCGCGACGGCTGCTAGGAACGGTCGCGACGGCGGCTAAGGACGACCGCGACGGCTAGGAACGGCCGCGAGAACGGCTAGGAATGACCGCGACGGCGGCTAGGAGCGTTCGCGACGGCTAGGAACAGCCGCGACGGCGGCTAGGAATGGTCGCGACGGCTAGGAAAGACCGCGACGGCGGCTAGGAACGACCGCGATGGCGGCTAGGAATGGCCACGACGGCTAGGAACGACCACGAGACGGCGGCTAGGGACGGCCGCGACGGCTGCTAGGGACGGCCGCGAGACGACTAGGGACAGCCGCGACGGCTAGGAACGGTCGCGACAGCGTCTAGGAACAGCCGCGACGGCGGCTGGGAACGGGCGAGACGGCAGCTAGGGACGGGCGCGACGGCTAGGGGCGGGCGTGACGGCGGCTAGGGCCTAGGGCGGAAGCGTGGGCGGGCTAGGTGGGGGGCCGAACCTAGTATGATACCATATCAGAATGAGTTGTTGAGTAGAATAGAAGGATACAGGGGTATGTAGACTAGGGGTTGTACCCTCTAAGGCACAATCCAGTATAGTCTACAGTAACTACATAAGTTACATTTGACACTTCCTTCCTGTCTGCACATACCAGCTGATAGTTCTAGAGGATAAACAAGTTATCCATCGACGCTTTTTCCCCGGAGACTAAATTGCGGCTCGGTGTGTAAAATTATGCATGTGTTATATGTACCGTAGCAGCTATAGGCTAGATGGGTAAATGCTCTTAGAGAGTACAACACCAAACCATACCGGTATGTCTCACCTGTATCCCTAGCTAGAGTTCACTTCGCTATTTTAGCAGAGCCTTCAGTGCACAAAATGAAAAATGTTCCACTATAAGCAAGAAGATGACAAGGTTTTAAGAGCAGCCCACCGGCAAAAGTCCTATACAAGGAGCAAATCAGCCCACCAGCGACTAGCACGAGGAATAATAGATTACTAAAAAAGAAAGCGGGGAGGGATGGGAAGCGAGGAGGGGCAGGGAGGGAGGGAAGGAGAGGGGGAGGGAAGAAGGGAGGGAGGTGGAGGGGGGGGGAGGAGGAGGAGGAGGGGGAGAGGGAGAGGAGAGAGAGGCAGAGGGGGAGGGGGAGGGTGGTGGGGGGAGCGGGGGGGTCTGTCGACGGCCGGCCTGGCATCATCTGACCGGGGATCGCATCCAAACAGCGGCAGTAGACCTTAGTAGTAGAGGCTAACCAACAAACCTCTCACTAGCTCCGTACAGGCGTGCAGCAACCACGCAGAGCGAGCGCAAGGCCGTGTGATACATGGGAGGTGCCTCGCCTGGCTCTGCTTTGCCTTGGCTTGTTTGAAGGGCGATCCGCTCCGCACATGATGGCAGGCCACCGTGAGTGAGTGCGTGAGAGTGCACGAGGGTGGGTGTGAGTGCATGAATGTGAGTGTATGGGTGAGTAGTGAGTGAGCGAGTAAGTGAGTGACTGCGTGAGTAGATGGCAGAATGAATGCAGTTGAAGCAGGCGTATGGAATGAACGGAGAGGGAGCCTGAGTGAGGAGGAGATAAGTCTGTTCCCAGCCACACACAAGGGTGAATGTGTGGTTGGATGACCAAGTGAGTGTGAGGATGAGTGCATAAGTGGGTGTGCAAACGAGTGTGTGACTGGTACCAAAATGCATTTGGCTGGAGTTGAATGGTGCATAGTGAAGCTTCCTCGTTGCATCAATTGACTCCAACTGAGTTGATTTGAATGGAGTTGACTCAGGTTGGCTCAGGTGGAGTCAGCTGAGGGGAGTTGACTCAGGTGGAGTTGACTCAGGAGGAGTTGACTCAGGAGGAGTTGACTCAGGTGGAGTTGACTCAGGTGGAGTTGACTCAGGTGGAGTTGACTCAGGAGGAGATGACTCAGGTGAAGTTGGCTCAGGCTGAGTCTTAGATGGTCCACATGGCATCACCCTCCTGCTGCCACGTGTCCACCATGCCCATGTCATCCCCAATCAGGTCCATCACCAATGGGCTGCCCTGCTCTCCAATACCCATACCCATGCCCATACCCATGCCGGTCCCTGCTCCAACGCCTATGCTCATGTCCATGCTTGTTCCCATGCCTGTTCCCATGCCCATCCCCATGCCCATCCCCATCCCCATGCCCATGCCCATGCCCATGCCCATGCCCATGCCAGGTGCCATGGCGGGCCCAATGCTGAAGTTCCTCATGAAAGGACTGAAGCTGCTGGGAGCTATGCCTGCTATGCCTGCCATGCCGCTGATGCTGGGAGTCATTGGGCTCTGAGAAGCCTCCCTCATACTGGGACTCCTCATACTGCCTGTAGCAGCAGTGGCAGCAGTAGCAGCAATGGCAGCAGTGGCAGCAGTAGCAGCAGTGGCAGCAGTGGCAGCAGTAGCAGCAGTGGCAGCAGTGGCAGCAGTGGCAGCAGTGGCAGCAGTGGCAGCAGTGGCAGCAGTGGCAGCAGTGGCAGCAGTGGCAGCAGTGGCAGCAGTGGCAGCAGTGGCAGCAGTGGCAGCAGTGGCAGCAGTGGCAGCAGCCGTGGCAGCAGTGGCAGCAGCCGTAGCAGCTGTAGCAGCAGTGGTAGCAGGGGCAGCGGCAGCAGACACTAGCATACCGACACCTATTACGGGTGCCGCCCCACCTCTCAGTGCCGCTCCTGGTGGTGCTGATGCTCGTGCAGTGGCAGCAGCAGCAGTAGCACCAGCAACAGCAACATCAGCAGCAACATCAGCAGCACCAGCGCCAGCAGTAGCACCAGCACCAGCGGCACCATGGTTCATAACGCCCTGCGACGACAGATCGACTTTCACATCCCGAATTGTCATCACCGCTCCTCCACCCTTCACCTCCTCTCCCTCCTCCTCCTCCTCCTCCTCCTCCCCCTCCCCCTCCTCCTCCTCCTCCTTACCAGGAGCCTCAAACACCATCACCCCTTCCATGCCGGCTCCTCCTTCCACCCCTCCTCCTCCTCCTCCTCCTCCTCCTCCTCCTCTTCCTCCTCCTCCTCCTCCTCCTCCTCCTCCTCCTCCTCCTCCTCCTCCTCCTCCTCCTCCTCCTCCTCCTCCTCCTCCTCCTCCTCCTCCTCCTCCTCCTCCTCCTCCTCCTCCTCCTCCTCCTCCTCCTCCTCCTCCTCCTCCTCCTCCTCCTCCTCCTCCTCCTATCCCGCCCACTGCCACTGGTCCTATTCCCACCCCTCCATGCTCCCCATTCACTACTCCCACACCTTGCTCTCCCTTAGCTCCTTCTGCTTCTTCCACTACCACTCTTCCCACGCCACTTCCGCACGTTTCCAGGTGAAGCACGGGGAGCAATTGGGTGATCTCTTCTTCCTTGCATGCTCCTCCTCCTCCTCCTCCTCCTCCCTGCCCCAGGAACTTGACCACCTGCCTTGATGCACGGCAGTTCGCTTCCATTGCGGGTGGGTATTGAGTCGACTCCAGAACGGGACCAGCAGCACCAGCACCAGCAGCAGCAGCAGTAGCAATGCCACCAGCAGCACCGCTGTTGACATTTCCAGAAGCAGCAACAGCAGTTGGAAGTGAAGAAGCAGCAGCAGCACCAACAGCAGCATCAGCACCAGCAGAACCAGCACCAGCACCAGCGGCAACTCCAGCACCAGCACCAGCAGCAACACCAGCACCAGCAGCAACACCAGCACCAGCAGCAACACCAGCACCAGCAGCAACACCAGCACCAGCACCAGCAGCACCAGTAGCACCAGCACCAGCGCTGGCACTGCTCTGGCTCTCACTCCTGCTACCACTGCGCCGCCCGCTGCCGTTGCTGCATGTGCAACCACTGGTGGTGTCGCTGCTAGCACTACTGCTCCGCACTCGCGGGTAGGCTCGGGACAAGGGGTTCATGTTGCTGTTGCCGGTGCCGCTGCTGTTATTGATGGTGTTGCTGTTATATGCTGCCTCTTGCTGCGCATGTGGCTGCTGAAACTGCTCCTGCTTCACGAGATACATCGGCTGCTGCTGCATCGGCTGCTGCACACGGTATGCTGCCTCGTCGCCATCTGTAGCAGCCACAGCCACAGCAGCCGTGAGCGGCGCAGGCGCTTCCTCGTACATCTCCAGAGCATTGCCCACCATTGCCGGCGCTGCCGGGGCGTCAGCAGCTGGCAGGGGAGCAACGCCGGAGGGCTGGAAAGCTACGATGGCAGCAGACTGCGGCACAGACTGCGGCACAGCACCAGCAGCACCCATTATATCTCCACTGATTCCTGCAGCACCAGCACCAGCAGCAACAACAGCACCAGCATTAGTCGCAGTGTCAGCAGCAGCAGCGGTTGAATCGACGACAGCAGCATGACTAAAACATGGCAGGAAGTTGACTGCATCATCACAGCCTGCCTCAGCTGCACCCACCACTGGCGTTGCCCCCACTGGTGCTGCGCCAACCGCCACAAGCGCATTTGCTGCTGTCCCCCCTCCCCCAGCACCTGCGCCAGTCACTGTTCCCCCCCCGCCACCACCGCCAGCAGCAGCAGCAGCAGCAGCAGCAGTGTCTGCGCCACTCCCGTTTCCTCCTCCCCCAGCGCCCCCCCCCCCTCCGCGCGCCTCCAGCGCCGCCGCCGTCGCGGCCGCGCTCGGGCGAATGGCAAGCCCCGCAGCAGCGGCAGCCTCCCACACGATCTCGTCGGGGGTCAATCCTAGCACGCGCGCGGCCTCCTTACTCGCGCGCAGCAGCGCTTCCGCGGTGGCGGAAGGGAGCGGGACCGTCGCGTAGCTGTTGGGGAAGTTGAGGCTCGCGCGCCGTCCGCGGAGCATGCGCGCGGCGGTGTCGTACGCGCGCGCGGCGTCTTCTGCCGTGTCGTACGACCCCAACCAGATGCGCGAGCGCTTGCGCGGCTCGCGGATCTCCGATACCCACTTCCCCCAGCGCCGCTGGCGCACGCCCTTGTACTGCGGAGTGCGCTGGGTGAAGGCGCAAGAGCCCGGAGCGCCCGGCGCGGCAGACGCCACGCCTGCGGAGAACGGCGGGCGCGGGGCGGCGGGGGACATCGGAGACGAGGGGAAGCCGCCGCCGCGCGGGGAGATGGGGAGGGGGATCGACACGCAGTGGGGAGGCGGAGATTGCTGCGGAATATTCCGCCCGAAACCCGCGGGTACATACTGCGTTCCGCCCGTGACGGAGATCGGCGCGGAAAGTGGCGCCGAAACAGGGGAGAAGCCGTGGATTATGGGGTGATGCACGACGGGCTGCGACGAAAGCGACGCGGGCGACGCTGGCGACAAGGGCGACAGCGGCGGCGCGCATGATGCGAGCGGCCCGACGGGCGACGTGGGGCTCTGCAGCGGCGGCAGATGCGCCGGCGTGTGCGGGAGAGCCGCCATGAAGTCACTCGGCGCGCCAAAAACTCCCGCCCCCACTACAATCCCGCCTTCGTTATAGTAGTAATCACCAGCACCAGCACCACCAGCACCACCAGCAGCGGCAGCGGTGGCGGCAGCGCCGGCGCCGGCTGGGAGGAGGCCTTCTGGGGTCGTAATCACGGTCGGAATGGGGCGAATAACGCCGCCGCGCGCAATACCACGCACACCACCCCCACTAGCAGCAGCGGCGGCAGCGGATGACGCTCCCCCCCCCGCCGGGTTCGACGCTAATCGGATCCGCTTGGGCGGCGGAGGCATTCCTGACACGATGCTGCTGTTTCCGCTTACGCCGTTCACGCTTGTAGCCGCGAGCGCTGCCAGCAGGAGATGCAGCGCCGCGACTGTGCCGCTATCGGCGCCAGAAGAGGCGGCGTCGAACGCACTGGCAGCGAAATTTCTCTTCTGTTGCGCCACCTGCCGCTGCTGCTGCTGCTGCTGCTGCTGCTGCTGCTGCTGCTGCTGCTGCTGCTGCTGCTGCTGCTGCTGCTGCTGCTGATGCTGCTGCTGATGCTGATGCTGATGCGGCCCTGGCGGTCGGACGTTCATCCCCTCGTGATACAAGCCGTTCAGCGCCGGACCCGGCGCGACCGCCGCCAGCGATGCCGCCGACGCGTGCGGCAGGGGGGGAGGAGGCGGCGACGCGAGGCTGCTGCTGGTGCTGCTCGGCGGAGTGGCCGCGACCGGCGCTGGCGCGATAGTAGTATCAGCCGCCGTCATAGTAGTAGTATCTAGACCGAGGTCCCGCCGGAGGCTCATAAATAACGCCGCTTGCTCGTCCTCCCCTGGCGCGACCGCCGCCGGCGTGGGTTGCGGCGGGAGCTGCTTCCGTTGCTGCAGATTGCTCTGAGGACATTGCGCCGCGATTGGCGCCGCAGCTGCCGCATGATGCTGTCCCAGGGGAGGCTGATTGCGCTCCGCGAAGGACGGCGCAATTGACGCCGCGACATCCGATGGCGGTGGAACGAGTTGCTCCGGTGGCTGCGGCTGCTGTTGCTGCTGTTGCTGCTGTTGCTGCTGTTGTTGCTGCTGCTGCTGCTGCTGCTGCTGCTGCTGCTGCTGCTGCTGCTGCTGCTGCTGCTGCTGCTGCTGCTGCTGCTGCTGCTGCTGCTGCTGCTGCTGCTGCTGCTGCTGCTGCTGCTGCTGCTGCTGCTGCTGCTGCTGCTGCCTGGCGATTATGGACGAGGCGAGGAGAGGTAAGAGGTTGCTGAGAGCACTGGCAGCTCGCTCCCTCGAAATACCATTATTAGCAGTATTAGGAGCAGTAGCAGCTGTAGCAACAGCAGCTGTAGCAGTAGCGCTCCAGGACGATCCCCGCTGCTGCTCCTGATACGCCTCCAGCTGCTGCTGCTCGAACCGCTGCTGCGCCGCTTGCTGCTGCGCCGCCAGTTGCTGCTGCGCCTGCTGTTCCGCCTGCTGCGCCGCGTGCTGCGCTTGCTGCTCGCACCGCTGCTGCTGTTGCTGCCGCAGCAGCGCCGCCTGCTGATGCTCGAAATAGTAATTCCCGCCGCCGTCGTCAGCAGCATCCGTCGCAGCGCCTTCCGCCGCAGAGAACATCCGCGCGTCATCGCCCGCCGCCCCGCCCGCATGCGCCTGCGGAGGCGCTTGCGCCGCCGCTGCGGGCCCACCCCCGCCACCTCCACCGCCACCGATGCCGTAAGGGACGGAGTCAGAGACGAAATGTTGTTGCTGCTGCTGCTGCTGCTGCAGTTGATGTTCGAACGAGCGGTTCGAGATGTCGTAGTAAGCAGCTGCTCCGCCTGTCTCTGCTCCCACCATGACTGCGTCGGAGCTGACGAGTCCCGCCGTGGCGCCGTCAGAATTGACGGCTCCGCCGACGGTCTGGTGATGCGCGCCGGGCCCCCCGGTGAAAGGCTGTTGCTCCGCAGGATGCGGCGGGGGCTGCGCTCCCGCAGCGGGGAAGAACGCATAATTATTATTATTACTGAAATTATTATTTGCCGTCAACGCCGTAACGCCGCATGCGTCAAATTGCTGCAGTTCTTGGCCTGCTGCCGTAGCCGTCGGCGCCGCCGCCGCCGCCGCCGCCGGCGGCGGGGGAGACGATCCTAGTGCCGCATGCACGGCACGATCATCACCATGCTGAGTCATCATAAGATTAGTATGATTCTGAGTCGGATCGCAGGGGGTCCATGATGGATTTCCACCCGGATCGCCTTGAGATGCGCTGCTAATTAACTCCCCGGGCGGCTGCTCCATCAGCATAGAAGCCTCCATGATTATCCGAGATGTCTCGCGGCGGTCTGCGGCTCGTCGCCGCGGTTCCGCGCTTCCCGCGCGAATGCTCCGCGATGGCGCTTCCGAAGCGGGTCGTGCCGCGTAGCTTGTGGGTTCAACACTGGGTGTGTGGGTTCCACTCTCTATCGAAGTACTATCGTATTAACGGAGTCTAGCACGGCGGATTGAGGGCTCGCTGTCTGCCTCGGCCGCAAACAACGGCGCAGGAAGGGGTGAGTCGTCGGGAGCCACGCGGCACGGTGCTACTTGCTTCTACTACTACTAATTAGCCGACACGTGACAGCCACGACTGCTAGGACCGCTATACGCGTGAGCTCGTACGCACGATTTTGGACAGCGACGGGCGGTCATGGAAAGACGGAACGGAATCACCCTCGAGGAGCACTGAAAGCTTGTCTTTATGCCATAATAATGAAGGAATCCCTTCCCCCCCACCCTCCTCCCCCCACCCCCGCCCTTCCCCCCCCCGCGCGCTCGGCCACGAGCGCCGGGGCCGGGGAGGGGACAGGAGGGAAGGAAGGGAGCAGGCGAGAGGGAGGAGCAGGACCTCAAGTTGTCGGAGAAGCCCTGTGGGCCTTCCGCCAAGATTCGATCTTCGCAATCATCGGATGGGGGACAGCTCAGCTCAGCTCTCCTTTCCCCTCTTCTCTCCATCGCCCCCCCTCTCTTTCTCCCTCGACTGGGACTCGAGTCGGCTGCGCAGCGCGTGTGATGGACAGCTCCCCACGACGAGCGCGCCTAGCACTACTGTACACCTACAGGACAGTACAGGACAGTCAGTGGGAGGAGCCTTGACTCTCGAGTCACCTTCAACGTCCCCCCCTCCCACCCACACGCTACGGTGCCGCAGTAGCGCACCCTTCTGCGCCCATGCGTCCATGATACGCCGCTGGGGCATCCCTTTGCGCGGAGTTCCCCCCGCCCCTCATGGGCCCAGGCCAGATCCCGCCGTGTCACCCCGGGACTTTGGAGCCGGTCAGAAAGGTGCGGAGAGACAGGGGACAGGGGAGAGGGGAGGGGGAAGTTGGACTTCATTCATTCGCCCCGCCGCAAATCCAGCGCAGCAAAAGACAGAAATGACTGTCTTGCAGTGGGGAGGTGCGGCTCGGGGTGAAGCGAGAGGTCCAAGAAACAGAAAACGAAAAGGAACCCACGCCATGAGGCCTTTCGCTGCTATCTGCTCCTTGGGTATGTGCGTTGTGAGCCTGTTTCCGGTCAGTGGGGAAAGCGAGGCTGTGCCGCAAGGCAGCCCATGTGCTAGCAGGGGATGGGCGGTGGGGTGGGGAGGAGGCAGGCAGGGCAGGGCAATGTAGCCCCTGCAAGACATGAAGGGACACGCGGACAAGCGCGAACGGGCACTGCAGGGGGGATACAGCGGAGTCGAGGGAGGATGGCGTGGCGGGGATGGCGCACATGAACGGGAACTATTTGGCGCGGTATTTCCAACTGCAGTACAGTGGGGAAGCCAATCGAACAAAATGTATCTTGCGGTAACGTGTCGGGGCAGGGATGATTTACCCTAATCGGGATCAAGCCAGGTGTATCCAACTATTTAATACCGAGTCCAGATTTCCATGCATATTATTTATATGCTTCTGGTTATACGCCATTTGGTGATTGCAATATAAGCGTTTCTATTTGCCTTACATCTTATGTTAGGAGGTTATAGGACACACCATGATTTTGAAGCTGGGAAATTCGAACGAACAAAGTTTCCAGCCCAAGGTGAAGCTGATGAAGCTGTCGGCGCGGAATGTGGCTGATCGCTGAATGCATAAGTCCAAGGGTGCTCTTGATGAGAGCATGCGGCCAAATTTTGGCTTGTGGGGCATCGTAGCACTGTACACTCAAACAGAGACACAGCGCGAATGGCTGTTACCTTCACCGCCAGAATTTACAGCCACTCGTCTGTAGATGCCATCACCGACACTCCCCCTTCACAAAGCTCTGGTTGCTTGTTGGAGAGACCCCAAAGTGTAAGGCTAACACTGCTGGAATCCCTCGCCTACCTCCACCTGGAAATCTCCAATCGTTCGAGGTTGACGCGGTCGGAATGTGTGGAGTGGCACTTACAGGTGGACGAACTATACAGACATGCGTCTCTTTATGAAGTCCGAGTACAGTCAAAACTCTTAGGCAGACTCGCACGCGAACAGTAAGAGCTGTGTGCAGAGCTGTGTCCAACTTTTTACTTATGTAACGGGGCCGCGGGGAATGCTTTGGGGTCTAGATCAGGGCTTATGTTTAACGGGCAACTCCCCGGATTATGACAAAATAATGGGTGATTTTTCGACCGATATCGGATTACGACGTGTTAAATTTTCACGAGCCCGGATTCTCATGGGTATATTTCGAGCACGACCCGGGCAGTAACGTGTTAGGCTTTGGCAAACACGGCTACTAGAGCTTCTCACACCACCCCACCCACCCATCCCCCCTCCATACCATCTCCCCAGGGCAAATCAGCCCAGCAACAAAGTTCCGGAGATATATTCATAAGAGCTGTAAGGAGGTATTTTTACGTGGTTTTCTTTGTAGAACCCAGGAACTTTTCGTTAGAGCGTTTGTCATCACGGGAAAATTCCGGGACTGAAGTGTCATTTCTTTCCTACCAGGATTTCGATGAGTAGCGTTTCACATAAACCCGTTTTATCCGGATTCCACGAAAGAGATACCCAGATCTGCAAAGTGGACGAAAGCCCTAGGGTAAGCCCTGGTCTAGATCTTCCAGAACCTTTGACTGTAACTATCATCTCAAACCAAGATTGGCGGCAACGACTCTTACGTCAAACTAGGGGTCTCCGCGATCAGCTGACTGTCGACGCCTAGTTTACAACCACTCTGTAACCTCCTATCGCCGACAACCTCGCACCGTTTCTCAAACGTTAGTGTGACCTTTTGAGGTCTGAACCGTTACTAGCTGTTGAGGTCGTCAACTCCACCTACAAGAATTTCGGTATTGAGGTTGAACCAGATGAAACACTACGTCATGCACTGTAGAACACGCTTAACTCATCACAGCGGAAACTAAAGAAACTACCAAGAAAATAAAGTACAAAATATGTAGCAAATTAAATACGAAATATTGAATACACTGACTTCAAATCCTACTCTTAGATAAAGAGTTGCCAAATTCCACTCACAAATGCTACACAACCATATTAATCAAGTTGTTACAACAAAAAGTAAAGTATCGTATTAATATAAATAACAGAATTGACGTGGCTTACTTCGTCATAGTAATATAAATTATTCATCTGAAAATCAGAGCATAAAACCCCTCTGATGGCTCTAGTTGTAATAATGTTGGGCGTAGGATGGTAGACAACTCCTTATGTAAGATCGCTGAAGTCATTCTACATTGCTGAAGTCATTCTAGATAGCTGAAGTCATTCTAGCGAGAAGGTAAAATAGTGAAGGCTGGCCCAACTTGAAAGAGGACTCCCCCCTGTGACTTCACTTGGAAACCTCGGTTGACAAATTACTGTTCCAAAGTGACGCGGGTTGGAAAAATGAAGTTTGATCTCAAAGCTGATTGGATCCCGCCAACATGATCGTCGCGAGACGAAACTCGCGACGTGCCAAAGCTGTATTTCTGACACGAAATGCTTGTCAGGGTTAGCGTTTCCCTGTGCGATTCTGGCATCGCGAATGCATGTGACGGGATGAGTCTTTCGGATCCAGTCGGGCCCAACTCGGATTTCAAGTTGGGCCTGGGTTCATAATTGCTGCAAAGAGCACTTCTCCATTTCCTACGCGAAAGTTCATTTCCCGGCTAGTTGACCCCCTGTTTTTTCCGCCTTAGTGCCTAGGAAAAGTGAGGAAAATGTGCCGCAACGATATAGGGAGAGAGTGGCGCGGCGGGAGGGAAAGAGAGATAGTTACGCGGCGGGAGAGAGAGAGAGCAACGCGATGGGAGAGAGAGCAGCGTAGCGAGATGGGGGAGAGACAGAGTACCTGTTTGCGGGAGAGAGAGAGAGAGAGAGAGAGAGAGAGAGAGAGAGAGAGAGAGAGAGAGAGAGAGAGAGAGAGAGAGAGAGAGAGAGAGAGAGAGAGAGAGAGTATCGCGATGGGATAGAGAGAAGGAGTAGCGCGGCGGGCGAGAGAGAGAGTAGGCGATGGGAGTGAGACAGAGTAGCGCGATGGGAGAGAGAGAGTAAGTAGCGCGATGTGTGTGAGAGAGAGAGTAGCGAGATGGGAGTGAGACAGAGTAGCGCAGTGGGAGAGAGAGAGAGAGTAGCGCGATGTGTGAGCGAGAGAGAGTAGCGAGATGGGAGTGAGACAGAGTAGCGCGATGGGAGAGAGAGAGTAAGTAGCGCGGTGGGAGAGAGAGAGAGAGAGTAGCTCGATGTGTGAGCGAGAGAGAGTAGCGAGATGGGAGTGAGACAGAGTAGCGCGATGGGAGAGAGAGAATAAGTAGCGCGATGTGTGAGAGAGAGAGAGAGAGAGTAGCGAGATAGGAGTGAGACAGAGTAGCGCGGTGGGAGAGAGAGAGAGAGTAGCGCAATGTGTGAGCGAGAGAGAGTAGCGAGATGGGAGTGAGACAGAGTAGCGCGATGGGAGAGAGAGAGTAAGTAGCGCGATGTGTGTGAGAGAGAGAGTAGCGAGATGGGAGTGAGACAGAGAAGCGCGATGGGAGAGAGAGAGTAGCGAGATGGGAGAGAGAGAGTAGCGAGATGGGAGAGAGAGAGAGAGAGAGAGAGAGAGAGAGAGAGAGAGAGAGAGAGAGAGAGAGAGAGAGAGAGAGAGAGAGAGAGAAAGAGTAGCGGGAAGGGAGAAAGAGAGTAGCGAGGCAGGAGAGAGAGAGAGAGAGAGAGAGAGAGAGAGAGAGAGAGTAGTGCGACGGGAGATAGAGAAAGTAGTGCGATGAGAGAGAGAGCAGCGTGGTGAGATGGTAGAGAGACAGAGAATATCGCGGGGGAAGAGAGAGAAAGTAGCGCGATGGGAGAGAGAGCAGCGCAACGAGAGAGCATCACCTCTTCCTCTCTCTCTCTCTCAGCGCCTCTTCCTCTCTCTCTCTTTCAGCGCCTCTTCCTCTCTCTCTCTCTCAGCGCCTCTTCCTCTCTCTCTCCGCACCTCTTCCTCTCTCTATCCGCGCCTCTTCCTCTCTCTCTCCGAGCATCTTCCTCTCTATCTCCGCCCCTCTCCTTCGATTTCGCCAGGGTTTTCCATCTCGCGCTCCCGCTCTGAACACTTCTTCCTCACTGTCATTCTCCCGCTCTCCGCACCTATCGCCGCGCGTCTCTCTCTGTGTCATGGTTTTAGTATTTTGCACTCTGTATTTCACTCGCAACGTTTTATTTTGCTGGTACTTTGAAGTGACACTTGAGGGGGGAATGCATGCCTTAGGCTCTCAAAATCAAGGTCTTCAGTTTGTCTTTCGCAGGGTAACGGGATGGCTTGTGATTTACGACAATCATGCAAAATGTTCACTCGTAATTTGTCGCCGACTATCGCACAAACACAAACTGGCCCCCTAACAAAAAACGGTCTCGCAAGTTTCCAACTAGCACACTCTTGAGCCAAACTATTTCGAGTTGGGTCCAACTTGAAAAGGGGGTCACTATTCTAGCCTCTCGCTTTAAATGTAAATAGCAAGTTGATAATAAGGAACAGGAAGAGTCCTAACTAACGATGCACTCTGAAGGGGTACATTTCTTTGGGATATACTAGAGTCGATAACCGCTCTGTAGTAAAAACGGTTATGGAAACTGTCTGGAATGGCAATCTGCGACTCTTAGCCTAAACGGCCGACTCTTTGACTCTTCTGATTGTGGAGTTGGTCGTCAATGGCCTGAGGACCGATGCCATTCTGTCTGTAGTCGCTTACTCTATGCGAGTACATCGCACCATTCAATCAGCGACACTTATCTTCTGAATGCACGTATTTTTGTAATTCCAGCATTCCCATTTATTCTTGAAGATATTTTGAATGTGGCTTCATGGTGACTCCTCTGTTAAATTATATTTGTTATATAATTGTAGGCTTGGTAGGTGTTACTGAACTCTACTATAAAGGGTACAACTCCCTCCTTGTATGCCTCTCTCTCTTCTATTCCAACCCTCTTTTCTCTCGTCAACTTTTCTCTCCTAGCTCCTAGC